GGTGAAGTATATACTTATGATTCTGGTGATCTGGTTTGGTGGCTAGGCAGCGCCTTCTTCTGTGTTCCCAGGTCACGTTTTGTTCATTGTCAACTCCTCAGCTGATCTTGTTTCTTCAGATTTCAAACCTTAGAGATCTGAATCCTCTCCAGGATGGATTTCAGCTGAGCGGGGTAGTCTCACCAACACCTCCAAGTTGTTGGGTTTCACAGGATCAGCAGCTGGGCCCTGGGTTGTCCTCAGACGGAGTGTTCAGATTCTTTCTGGTTCTGTCCCACGGAGATAGCTTCTTCCCCAGGTGTTGGGATTAGAGGCGTCCCTGTTCCAAGCTCTTGATTAAGAGCTTGTTTTCACTAGCTCTTCAGCAGGTAATAGCTCAGTTTCTGGTCTTTATTGCAACTGTGTTTCGGCCGCCGCCTGCTGGGCCTGCCTGCCTCCGCACCGGGCTTATCTGCCTCTGCCAGGCCTGCCTGCCTCTACCAGGCCTGTCTACCTCTGTGGGCCACCACCAGGCCTGTCTGTCTTTGCCGGCCGCCGCTGCTGGGCCTACCTGCCTCTGCCTGTTGCCGCCTCTGCCTGTCTACCTCTGTGTGCCTCTGCTGGGCCTGTATGTCTCTGCCAACTGCTGCCGCACCTGTCTACCTCTGCCGGCCGCCGCAGGGCCTGTATGTCTCTGCCGGCCGCCACTGGACCTATCTGCCTCTGCCTGCCACCGCTGCCACGCCTGTCTACCTCTGTGTGCCACTGCCAGGCTTGTCTGTCTCTGTTGGCCATGGGCCTGTATGTCTCTGCCAGCCGCCGCCACCGCGCCTGTCTACCTCCTATCTATGTATTTTTAAGAAATCAAAGTTTTATTAAGAGGAACAGTAACAAACTCCCTAAAGCAGAGAGGGGGTATACCAAGTCAATTGCCTTAATTAGTTCAGATTTTAGTTAGGGTCAGGTCCAAAGGGTACCCCGCCCCCAGCTCCAACATGCACACTTAAAAAAGAGTAGCCTCCTGACTCATCCAAAGTTGAGTCCAGGCCCAGCTGTGTAAAGTTATGTTGCTTTGCCTGCCTATGGCACCTGATTGGTCCAATACAAAGCTGAATGGCCAATAGCTAGGCAGCAAAGGGATAGGCAGGGCTGCTGGGCAAAGAGAATAAATAGGAGGAGGAATCTAGGCTTAGAGAGAGAGAGAGATGCCTCGGGCTAGCCACCAGACATGAGAGCAGAAAAAGTAGGACATACAGAAAGGAAGAAGAAAAAGTTATAAGAGCTAATGGGACAGGCACAAGATAAGGCTGAGCATTCCTAACTAGTAAGTTTCCGTGTCATGATTGGAGGGCTGGGGGGTCCAAGAAAGCCTGCTATATAGCTCATCCTGGACTATCGGAGGATTTTTGGTGGTTAGATAAAATCCAGCATTCTCCAGGAGTCATTTCCCTTACCTCTGGCTCTCCATTAGCAAATACCTGTGGTGCCTATCAGCACATCAAGGTCCATGCAGGCCTCCATGCTCCCTCAGTCCCAACTCACAGTTATACATTTCAGAGCCCCACACCAGTCTCCTGGTCCTTCCCCTCAGCTACTCACCCTTCTTATGACCTGGCTATTCCGACTATTCTCAACTTCTGTTCCTGCTATTCTCACCGTGTTCTCTCTGTTCCCTATCCTGGTTATTCTCACCGTGTTCTCTGTTCTCTATCCTGACTATTCTCTCTTCTCTCTCAAAGACACTCCCAACCTTGTCCAGTCCACTGCCATGCTCAGTTTACTTTTTTCTCTACATCTACAATAAAAACCATCCCCTTCACGGTACCATGGAGTATTCATGTTGGCAGTTTATACACTGAGATCTTTATTTTTTATTAAATTAGTTTCTTTTCAGTCTCATAGTGTGATTCCTTAATTTCCTATATTTTATCTAATTACTTTTTCAAACAAGGACAAATGAAGATGGAGGTAATGGCCACTAGATATTAATGTGCTCCAAAAAAAAAATTACTCACCAACAGGGCAGTTGGTGGCACACGCTTTTAATCCCAGCATTTAGGAAGCAGAGAAAGAAGTACCTCTGAGGTTGAGGCCAGCCTGGTCTACAAAGTGAGTTCCAGGACAGCCAGAGCTACATAGAGAAAAACAAAACAAAAACAAAAAACAACCCCCCCATCACCCTCCAAACACTCATGTCTTGCACACATATTTTTAATGAGGTATGTCAAAAATAATGAGTAATACGTTTAAAAAATTCAAAATTCACATGGTCCCACATTTGTTCTCAGGAGATTCAAGAACAGAGATTCAAGCACATTACCTTGTGCTGCTTCAGATGCTGTTCTGAGTTTACAAAAGACTGGTCCACTAGAATTTTCTCCTGGGATACCAAAAGCACCAAGGGAGTATACACAGGGCTCCTCGGGGTTTCAAAAGTCACAGCAGACATCTCCTCCACACTCTCCCTGCTCAGCAGCACCCCAGGGCTCACAGGTCTGCAAAGATCTCCAAATGGAATGGACTAAACGGCTCGACAGAACCAGAAATGGCTGAGCGGGACTCTGAAAGACAAACCCTGTTTTTTGAGACAGGGTTTCTCTGTGTAGCTTTGTGCCTTTCCTGGGACTCACTTGGTAGCCCAAGCTGGCCTCGAACTCACAGAGATCCACCTGGCTCTGCCTCCCGAGTGCTGGGATTAAAGGCGTGTGCCGCCACCGCCCGGCCAGGAAGCCTGTAACTTTTAAAACATGTTTGTAATAGGTGCTCACAGAAGAGACTTAGGACTTTTAGTCACTGTTGGAATTGTTAATTAAAGACTACGGTGACCTCTAAAGTCAGGCTAAACGTGTCTTATACTATGAGATGGGGATTGTAGGGTCCAGGTAGAATGCTAAGATTTAAAGCAATGTGGGAGCCGGTAAGTTGGCTCAGTGGTTGGGTGTTCTTACAGAGGACCTGGGTTCAGTTCCCAGCACCCACATGGGGGCTCACGACCATCTGAAACTCCAGTTCCAAGAAATCCAACCCCTTGGCCTCCACAGGCGAAGCACACACGAGCTACACAGACAAAACACCCATACACATAAAATAAAAATAAAAAGAATTAAAGTGATGTGTTTTGGTGTCTGATTGACAAGAGGTCTCGGGAGTTGTGAGGACCAATCTCTTTGTCAACTTAATGAGATTTCAGATGACCCTGGAAACACACCTCTGCATGTGTCAGTGAAGGCTTTTCCAGAAAAATTTAAAGAGGTGGGAAGACCTACCCTGAATACGAGGGACACCATTCTGCGACGGGCTGGAGTCCTGGACTGAACGAAAAGGAGAAAGTGGGCTGAACACCAGCATTTCCCTCTCTGCTTCCTGACTCAAGGAAACAGGGCCAGCCCCCACCCTCTCCTGCTTCCAAGCTTTCCCCACGATAGACTACACCCTCAGAAAGAGCCAATACTCTGGGAAGCCAAACCTTTCCCTCCGTGAGTTGCTTTTGTTAGGTAATTGTCAGCAGTGAGAAAAGCAGCTAACAGAGCCAATGAGATCCCCGTTTCTGGGGACGAACTGTGGCAGCTGTCAGGAGGATGGCCAGAGGTCCCACAAAAGCCAGACTTAGGGTTCTGGAAGGCCAATGTGTTACGGTCGTCCAGGCAACAGAAAAAAACACACTTGGCTTTGTGACCTCTCAGAGTCTGTACTGTGAACCTTCCTTCCTTCCTTGAGAGGATAACTCAGAATTGATTACTTCAGGCTGGAGGTGACTCAGAATACGGACGGGGCAGGAAGGGTGGGTGGGTCTGCTGGGGCTGGGAATCTGAGTGGAACCTGTAGGACGACCTTGGCATAGGGATGGCCAGCAGAGCTAGGGCGTTTTCTGTCTTGCTGGCCACGGCGGCGTTCTGTGGGCTCACACAATGGAGGCCACGCTGGCCACAGGGTTAGGGTCCTGCTCTCCATTCACAGTTAGTCCGCTGGGGTCAGGGGAGATAGCAGTGGGCAAGCCTGAGGACCCGAACCCGGGCACGGTGGCACAGGCTTCTAATCTCAGTGCTGGACAAGTGGAGACAAGTAAGTAGCTCTCTGGGGCTCAAAAGCCAGCCAGCCAGCCAGCCAGCCAGCCAGCCAGCCAGCTTACCCTCCCTGGCAAGTTTCAGACCCATGACTCTGTTTAAAAAAAGGGGGGGGGGTCATCTGAAGAATGACACATGAGGCTGTCCTGCCTCCATATGCATGTACACACAAAATTAAAGCAGTCCATTGAAATGTAGCAAGGCGATGAAAGAGCGGGAGGAAGGGGAGGGAGGAAGGAAAGAAGGAATTCTTTTCAAAAGAAAATGGTTGCATGACCAAATAACCAGCTCTGCATCTGCAGGGCTGCCAGGAGCCCTCCTGACGCCTCCACAGTCCCCCTCCTACTTTGCTGCCCTTCCCCCACATGCCTGGCGCTGCCCCCCCCCCCTTCCCCACCTCCCTCTCTTGGCCACCTGCTCTGGGGCTTTCCTCCTGGCTCTGGCTCTGGGGTTTCCAGACCACCAACCCTGGAGTGGTTTCCACTGTGGCCTGGTTAAGAAATTGGCAAAGAAATCCAAGCCAGCCTGGTCTACCCAGTGAATTTTTAGGACAGCCAGGGCTACATAGAGCTACCCCATCTCAAACAAAACAAAACATAGTTACCCCTTCCTATTAAGGCCCCCAACACCAAATAAAGTGCAGTTCTACCAAAGTCATCCCGGGGAATCAATGAATTTGGGGAGCTTACTTATAGAACATAGGTGACCCCAAAGCAGGAACACTGGAAAGTCTACCCCCATCATGGATGCTGGCTTCCCCATGGCTTCCCAGACAGCTCCCTTCCAATAACCTGCCTGACCTGTATCCGCTAGAACCTCCCAGGGCCATGTGCAATTAGGGCGAAATTATTACAGATGGCTGGGGCTGAGTAGCTGGAGTCTGAGGTGAGTGTCGAAAGATCTTCCCTACCCCCTCCTCCTCGGAAGAAACATCAGCAGTCCCTGGGCCCTACTGAGTCAGGCCCTTGCATGCAGTCACGGGTGATCTGATGAGAATAGCGCTGCTTTGCTCTGGAAGACTGCATTCTACAGCACCATGCACCACTGTGCATTCCCACAGGAATGTGGGGGAGGGAGCCAGGGCGTGAAAGTTTACAGGAACCCGAGAGCTGGCCAGGGATCTGGGGAGGCAGGGAGGGAGAGGATCCCCTTACCTAGGTATCTGAGGCTCCAGGCTCCGCTCCAGCTGGCAGACACGCCCGCTTGTCCTCACAGGTGTGGAAGAAGGCAGGGCCTGGCCATGTGGAAGTCAACGGGAGGGTGCAGCACCATGCAGGCTCTGCCCCTGCTGTCGCCAGCCGAGAGGTGCTCCTGAGCTGTCCCCAGGGCTGGGAAGGTGGTTGTGTTTGGAGACAGGGCTTTCAATGGAGTTACCATGAAGTGTTCCCCACCCCCACCTTCCCGGAGAAGCTGGGACACCATGCCCACACTTCTGTCTCTGCAAGATGAGGAGGTTCAGAGCATAAAAAAAATGGCTGGCCATGTATAAGGCTCAGGGAACTGGAGGAATTCTGGGAATGCCAGCATCTGTGGGGTGCAAAAAAGACAGAAGGAGAGCCACCAGGCCCCACCAACACTATGATCTAGACTGCTACTGCAGAGGGTCCTCTCCACTGACCAGAGGCTGGACTAGGACATCGTGATCTGGGCAGTGGGGATGGGATAGGTGGGGGAGAAACATCCTCTTGAAGAAGGAGCTGGTGGGAAGGGTATTAGGAACAGGGACTCCTCTGCCTCCTTGGAGAAAGTGGTGTGGGGACCCCAGGAGTTCCCACCAGTTCCGGAGCCTCCCCTCCACCGCGGTTTCCTCCCGGCGATCTGGGACCGACTTTCTCCCCACCCAGGGAAACTCCGGCACTGGCCTGGAAGCCCCTTGCAGGACCACATTGCACCATACATCTGGCTGCCACCGAGAAGTGAGGGAGGGGTGACTGCTCCCTGTGCCCACCGGCCCTGGGTCTGGCATCTGGCAAGATGGCCTCTTCTCCACTCCTGATCCAGAACATCCAAGTGAAACTGGGGTGGCAGTGTGTGTGTGTGGGGGTTCGTAGCTGGTATCCACTCTGGGAGTTCTCTAGGGTGGGGACAGGAAGCGGCCAAGGCTACAACTTGTTCCTGACCTGTCCCCGGATGGGAGACCAGTGCCGACAGAAGCCTAGATAGAAACTTCACAAGGGGGAGCTGCACTTTCTGGACCACCCCCATTCTGTCACATGGCGCCTGTGACCTGGGAGTCACATCTGTGCCCTTCTGACTTGGGGCTATAGTGTAGCCTCCTGCCTGGCTTTGCAAACCCAGCAATGAGGTGAGGATGAAGATGCGTCTCTTGGGTCCAGAAAGCAGGAACTCGTTTGTGGAATACCATAGCATACTTCCCACCACACCAGAATGGGTGAGGTCTCAATGCCTCCCGACCTCGTGTCTGGAACCTTCTCTCAGCCTAACAGAGTCACTGGGATACCACAATCTAAGTCCCCCAACCCTCCCTCATTAGACAGCCTGTTTCCTCAGTGAGTCCAGCAGGTCCAGGCTCCTGGCCTCACCCAAGTCTGGATTGTGGCGAAGTGTCAGTTTCATGAAAGTTGGAGGTGGCTCCGAGACCATTTGCTGGTCATCAGTAAGGACTCTGGGAACCTCCTCTGCCTCTGTCATACCCAGAAAGGGGGACTGTGAGAATTAGGACAAGGATGCCTTCATGATCAGCCCTGTATGCTGCCCAGAGGTCCTGTCCTGAAGACATGTTTGTCCTGCGCTTACCTCCACTGGTGCCACACTAAGAATACGCACAACTGTCTCAAAAACTGTGAAGTGCTTGGGAACATTGAGAAGGCACCCAACTCATCAACCTTTCTAGGTTTAAAAAGAAGTGCCATCGGGGCGGTGGTGGCACACGCCTTTAATCCCAGCACTCGGAAGGCAGAGGCAGGCGGATCTCTGTGAGTTCGAGGTCAGCCTGGTCTATAGAGCAGGATCTAGGACAGGCACCAAAGCTACACAGCGGAAACCCTGTCTCAAAAAGTGTTCCTAATGCTGCGACCCTTTAATACAATTCCTCATGTTGTGGTGACCCCCAATCATAAAATTATTTTGTTGCTACTTCGGAACTGTAATTTTGCTACTGTTATGAATTGTAATGTAAATATCTGATCTGCGACCCCCAAAGGGGTCACAACCCACAGACTGAGAACCACTGGTCTACGAGAACGTTCGCTGGGTCTCTAAAGGACATGGCCTTACTCTGCTGTTTCCCTCTGTCCCTCTCTACTCTCAGCCAAGCCCACGAGGCTCATCTTCCAGAGATGGCATGACCTCTCTCTTACTTGTTATCCTGGCACTGTACTGACCCCCCCATCACTATACTCGGTCCCCCCTCCCCCCTCCCCGCACCAGCAGCCCCAGAGCCCCAGGTCCTTTATCCACTGTTCCAGTATTTCTGCGTCATAAACCACTGTACCATGTAGCCATGGTTGAAGCACAAGGAAGAAGTGCCTTTAGGTTAAAGAGGGGGTTAATGTACCCTTTGTTTCATCCCAAAGATTTCAGCCATATGGTTTGGATGACATTTATGTCATACTGAAAAATGCTGACAACCTCTGCCGATCAAGTGGTTTTAGCTTATGTAAGGCAAATTCCTTTTGTAAGTGACGTTTTAGTTGGGCAAGAGATGCTTGAGTGAGAACTGGATGCATGCTAACACCTAGAGCAGTGGTTCTCACCCTTGCTAACGCTGGGACCCTCTAACACGGTCCCTCATGCTGTGCTGAGCCCCAGTCACAAAATTATTTTCATTGCTACTTCATAACTGGAATTTTGCTACTGCTAATGAATCATAATGTAAATATCTGATATGTTAGATACCCCACCAAGGGGGTTGTGACCCACAGGTTGAGAACCACTGACCTAGATGGATATTTTTTTTTTTCAACCTAGCTTTTCAGCCTAGAAATGAACAGAAGCTGTCTGTGCAGAGGGCAGCTCAGCAGGAACAAACGGCCAGGCCAGGCCGGCTGAGCTTGTGTTCTGTCCAGACAGAGGAGCGGCAGCTTCAGGCTGCTCGGCACGCAGGGATGGAAGAGCAGCTGAGTCATCGGCCTGGCATATCCAGGTCTGGGTGACGCACCATGTGCCCAGGGCGTAAGCCGGCAGAACTGGCTTACAGGAACCTTTGGATCTGTGCCAGCCGATCATGCCACGATCCTTTGGGAATTTAAAGGAAAACTGTGAGACCAATATGACAATAAGTTATTGACTACAAATTATTACAAATATAACTATGACAGGAACAACCTAGGCATGGCTGGCCAGGCATTGTGGAGAGCCAGGGCTGGGCAGCGAAACCCTAGTGAGGTCTACCTCTCCTTGAGCCACACCAGGAGCACAGAGAACCATTCACCTCCCCACATGTGATGGATGCCAAAGAAAATCAAACATAGGTGGGCACTGGTGTGCACACTTTTAATCCCAGCATTTGGGAGGCAGAGGCAGGCAGATCTCTGAGCTCGAGGCCAGCCTGGTCTACAGAGCGAGTCCCAGGACAGCCAGGGCTACACAGAGAAACCC